CTTGAATATAGTATGAGAAGATAAAAGAAGTATCGTCTGAATATGTATGAGACGATAACCATCCACTTGAATGTAGTTGATAAATATGTATGGGAAATGTTGAATGTATGAGAAATGTTGACTGTGTTGAAGTATCATAAGTTTCAATCAATTGAAACAAAATCGATAATCGCCCGATAATAGCTAAATCGATACCAATTCGCCCGATATCTTATCGGGTAGCTAGCGAATTAATACATTTAAAAGCCGATAACTGATAAGCCAAACAGTTAAGAGTAAATAACTGCCCGATCCGCCCAATAAGCAACCCTACTTGAAAGAAGTTAGAATTTGTAGTTTCTTCCCAAAATCAGAAAAAACTGTTTCTGTTGATGCTCAAAAGTACTTTTTTATTTTGGCCAAATATCTTAAATTTTCCAAAAAGTACTTTTTGACCAAAAAAAAGGTACTTTTGGCCTCCCAGAGGCTTGGCAAAATAGGCTCTAAGTTAGAAAGAATCAGAGTTGTTGAATTGTAAACTGAATTTCTTGTAGATTCAGTTGTATAGTTTTAAAAAGGCCCCGTACAACTTGTTGGAAAATGTGTCTGGCTAATAGAAGTGGAAAGTAATTAAAAAGAGAAAAGTAATAAATTTCATAAGACAAGACAAAATTTACGTGGTTCGATAATTTTTCCTACTTTACGACCACACAAAGAATAGCTTTATTGATACTGAAAGAGAAAGAAGAATGTCAGGGATGAATCCAATTGAGGAAGGGAATGCTTATTATAAGTAGAGAAATCAGTTAAAATCTTCGGCGAAAATGTGAACATGCGCCAGGATGGCATCGCAACTGTGCGCCAAATTCTTTCTTTCATATTGTTGCAGCCTAACTTTTCTAACCCTTCTTTCTTTCTATCTCTTTCTAATCGGCAGGATGATACCTTAGTTGAATGCGTTTTGATATTGCATGAATCATTGGATTCTTGGCAAGATAAATTGCACTTTGGCTTCACTAAAGAGCTTAGAATTGTCTTGTTCTTTACCTAGCTTTTTCAAGAAGTTCTTGAGCCAAAACATCTATTTTCTAGTTTTTGAGATTGCTATCTTGCACCTATTCTGTCACGGCCCTTATTTCTCCCATTGATATTTCGGTGTTGCTCAACTCTTGTCTTTCTGTGATCAATTGTTAATTGTTTTAGTTTCATAGTTAACTTTTGTTATCAGTCATCCCAACCAAACTATTAATCGTCATGAATAGAGTTAAGCTAGAAATTACTTGAACATTGTTTAAATCCAATCCCTGTGGAGACGATAATTAAATTATATTATCTTTGGCTAGTGAGCATCAATTTCGTATTGTGTTTTGCGCTCGTCAGTATACGTCATCGAATGTTATGTATATTACATTAAACTCATTGATATGTTCCGTAACAGTTCCACCTTCAGGTTGAACAATTGGCATATCAAATAGACTTTATATGAAGCAGATGACTTTTTTTTTTACATATTTAATAACGCGTTAACTAGGCATGCACTGGTCTTCTCGTTAATAATGTTGAACGCAACATTTCGTGTCAGCGTCAAGTGAATCACACAAAGAGCTTGGCGATCTAATAATTTCTAATCCACTTTAGCCGTATTATCTGATTTTATCCCGATCAAAGGTAAGTGTAATATTTTTTTTTGGTAAGATAATCCTCTATCTGTATTTTTCAAATTTCAAATCTTTGCCATTTCTTATGAATCTTAACATTTCATTCTTTTGATGCCATTTATTCACAAAAAATAGTATAGGGTAAATAGTACTATGTGCAGGAAAAATGTCCAACCATATAAAGTAGACAACATTCACTATTGGTGAATAATACTTTTAATATTACTAAACAATACTTTTACTATTTTTGAACAGTACTTTCACTGTTGTGAATAATATTAAAATTGATGGATAATTGTTTTGCACTATTCTTCCAAATAGTACACTGTATCAATTGTTATACTCCATTTTAACACGGGTCAAATTAGAGTATAACATATTGGCTAATCCTGAGGTTTAATTAATTAAAAGAGTCACCACCTAATTATTTCAACGGTGAATTAGGACACCAATTTTAGCTAAATAATGCTTAAAGTTAACTCTATTTATGGTCTATTTAACCTTTAAGACTATGGGTAAGGGTTCTAATTAATCCTATAGGGAAGGTTATTAAAGCATCCTACATGATCCGTTAATCACGGTTAACCGGTCAAACTTAGGTTAATTTGAAAATTTAAGTGTAGCTATTCTTAGTGTATGATAAAATAACTAAATATTAAAAATACGACTAAAGCGGATATATTACGTATATGCGAGTTACTGGAAAATGATTTATTTAAATTGGATGTAATATACTACTCTTGTAATATGTTAACGCCACTTTAATTTTGGCTAGTAAGATTAAAAGAAAAGGTCTTGAAATAAACTTGTTCAGTACTAAATTTATCAAACTTGGACAAAACACTAACGATATTAACAAAACCAATTAAAAAGGACAAACTTCTAGTTCAAAAGGTAGTAAACCTCCTAAATTCTTTTTTACTCTCTTCAATAAGTAGTTTAGGACCAGAATCTAAAACTCTTATTCCAAACAACGGTGGGTTCCTTTTTTAAGAAAAAAATGAGATTTAAGAAAAGATATACACAAGTTACAATTTTTGGTTTAAACAGTTAGTTCATCTATAAAATTCTCAAAGTTGTAAGTGGAATCAGTTTATTAACTCATAAAGTGAATCTATAATTTAACACATGGTGTGAGAACTCCTGCAACATTGCTTTTTTTTTTTAAAGCTTAATGGCAACTCCCAAATATTATAAAAATCCTATCCTTGAGATAAAACCAAAAAAAAATACAAATAAATTAAGCATCGTAAAGACTAGACAAGAATGAATGGTAAAAAAAAGGAGTAAGAAAGACGCCATAGGCGCCCCAAGCGTTTCGCTTGTTTTTCTCGCTATCCGATGACTCTAAGGAAGATGGTATGCAATGACTCCATGTGGTGGTGGTAGCGTTAAGTCTCTATGAGACTCCACTGTGGGAGTCTCGAATTAAGACTCCATTTGCTCCAAAGTGTACATGCAAAGAAAGGGAAAAACAAAAATAGGCATATCATTTATATGCTACACAATATAAGAATATTCAAAAGTGAGAATGCTTTAAAGTTCATACTCCATGGCCACACAAAGAATAGTTTTATTGATATTGAAAGAGAAAGAAGAATGTGGATATGGATTATAATTGAGGAAGGGACAGCCTATTTATAGGCGGAGAAATCAGTTGAAATCTTTAGCGAAGATGTGAACACGTGACAGGACGGCACCGCAACTACGTGCCAAATTCTTTCTTTTATATTGTTGCAGCCTAACTTTTGTGGCCCTTCTTTCTTTCTTATCTTTTTTTTCTTTTCTCTAATTGGGAGGATCTATAGTGTTTTCACACTTTCCCTCCAGTGTGACTCGAACCCATGACCTAATGGCCGTGGGTGGATGTGCTTTTACCAACTGAGCAAGCCTCATTTGTCTCTTTCTTATCTTTCTTTCTTTTCTACTTGTTTTTTTCTTTCTCTTTGACTTTTCATTTACACACATGGGTTTTTCCCATCACAACTAAATTTATGATAATCAATCAATCAAATTTACACTCAACCTAGAAAATTCTTCTTCTTCTCCTTCTCCTTCTTCTTCTTCTCCTTCTCCTTCTCCTTCTCCTTCTCCTGCTTCTCCTTCTCCTCTCCTTCTTCTTCTTCTTCTTCTTCTTCTTCTTCTTCTTCCTTCTCCTTCTCCTTCTCCTTCTCCTCCTCGTCCTCCTCGTCCTACCCCATTTCCCAATCCCTGAGCCAGCTTCCGTTTCTTGAACTTAATTCCTTTTCCAACCTCATATACTTATCAAGTGGTATTAGAGCTCATGATCCTCGATAATGGCAAAGATTTTTAAACCACCCGAAGCAGTTGACCTTGAATTGCTAGAAGGTAAGGAGCAGCTTAGGCTCATTTTGGAAGGCTTAGGAGTGTTATCCGCTAGAAGGTGTCTAAAACGAGGAGTAAAGGAAATTACCTTGAAGAAATTGATCGAAATCATGGGCTTAAAGGAGGAGAAATTCCTGATTTTGACTTTTGGATGGGTTGTAGTTGTTGTATGTAGGTGAAGAATGGAAATCCATACTCTCCTCGTGCTTGTATTTAGAACAATGGCCCTCCTCAGAATCCCTATTTAACTCGAATTTCCATGTGGAGTTACCTATATTTTCTGACTAAGATGTACAAAGTTGAGTTCCTGATTTGGGTAATATCTTTTAATATTATCGATGGAAATCTTGTTAGTTGGCATGGAATTTCCTATGATCCATATATTCCAACACTGTACAGGAGGAACTCTTGAGGAATCCTGAAGAACTAAAATCATATGGGTTTACCGAATAATGCTGAAGATGGTTTAGAGGTAAAGTTATTCCAAAATTATGCTCACTATGTTCCCACAAGTGATCATGTTGAGGAAGTACTGGGATCTGAGGGTCTACATGATACCAGAAGAACATATTCATGCCGTCCTAAATGGTGTTAGAGCAGATACTTGAGCCTGAGCAACGGTTTTAGGTCAAAGTTGGCATCCGAGAATCAAAGATCGTTGATCTGCGGATCAGTTTGGAGGTTGGTTGATCCTCTAACGTTTGAAGCTGTACAACAGATAGTGTGGTGTGGTAGACCTGGTCGCCGGGAATGGACAAAATCACCTAGCGCTATTTATCGAGCTTAAGACAGCTTTATATGAAGGACCGAAAGAAAACTCTGCGACACAAAGGTGGATCAACTTGTGCTAGGGAGAGGGGTGTAAAGCTATTTACTGCCACCAAAATGGCAGCGGCATATGAAAGGCTGTTTACTTTGCATCTCAACTCTCTTAAGTAACGGAAATTAACCAGGAGATATGGTCAGTTCTCCCTTGGGGCACAGTTCATTTTGCCAGTGGCAGTGAGGCATAAAGGGTTGAAACACAAGAAAGTTCTTGTCAATTTAGCTCATACTAATCTTCAGAGAGGGCAACGCGAGTTCATTCCACAATATATTTTCAAAGTACTAGTTCCATGCCAAGAACTTATTCAGAAATTTACATCACTCGATTACATAGGAAGTGTTAAATGAGTAAAAAGATGTTAAACCAGTTGTCAAAATCCCTGCTTTGTAAGGCACTGAGCCGAAAAGAGTAAAAAGCTCCATGTCATATAGGGTTCAAATAACCATCAAGAGAACCCACAATAAAAACTTGGAATCTGTCAACACATGGCCGTACTAGTCGTCTTCAACGAGACTAAATCAACCTGCTCTCAAGACTTCACGAACTCCTGCAAATTGACAAAGAAAATAGGAAATAAAAATCAGTTCGTACTCAGAAAACTAGCATCACAATGTTACAGGAAGTGGCAAAAATACGAACATAAAATGTGTACTGTAAACAGCATCATCATACACTTGCACACTATCCTAGATAAACAAGACATATTTAGGAAAGAACACGTCCCTTTCTTTTCCAATCTCCCGTGAAAAAACAAATGAACAAGTCTCAGCGTGAATCTATTCACAGATTTTTAGTGATGAATAAGCAATATGGAAGTAGACAACCATTATAAAAAGAAAGAGATGCATTAAAATTTCAAGATAAAAGGTTCCAACATCAGAGATGCACATGTGATCCACGGAATAGAGTTCAAAGTCCTCGCTGACTTACCACTACTAAATATATGGGAATTCACATGTCTTTGGGGCTCCGCGGTCAGGTTCTAGTAATAAAGTGACCCTGAATACAAGTATTTGCAGAAACTTAGCTTCCATTTATGATAACTTGCAACCATTGCAATATTATTTACTCTAACAACATGCATACCTTCCCACCAATTCCCTCTAGAAGCACTATATTGGTCGTTTCCACCAGAATCATATTCTCCTCCTTCCTTCTTGTACTGAATTATTTACAAAATACATCACAAGGAGTTAGCACCATCGCACTGCAATTTTTAAGTTATGAAGATGAGCTTTCAAGAAAAAGAACTCACACAAGTTCTTATTTAATTTTCATGGAAAAAAGAGATCAGGCTATTTCAAAATCCGATACTCCCTCCGTTCCAATTTATGTGAACCTGTTTGACTGGGCACGGAGTTTAAGGAAAAATGAAGACTTTTGAAATTTGTGGTCCTAAACAAGTCAAAAAGGGGCCCTGAGTATTTGTGTGGTTATAAAAGCTTCTCATTAAAGGTAGAATTGTAAGTTTAAGCTAAATTCTTACCAAATTTAGAAAGGGGTCATTCTTTTTGGAACGGACCAAAAAGGAAATAGGTTCACATAAACTGGAACAGAGGGAGTAGTAAATTTGCAATGATCAGTCACAATCCCATAACTACGTGTACGAACAGCATATTTTAGAAGAGAAAGTAATAGTAGTAAAAATAGAAGTAGCAGACATAGGATGCATTAAACGACCACTAATGTGCTATCTTGAGAGTACATAAAGAGGAGGCCATACAACTCTTTTAACTGTTACCTAGATTCAGACTACCAAAATTTGCTAGTGACCACCAAGAAGTAAGTTTTCATCTGAAGCTCGTATATAATTACAAATCTTTACAAAGAGTTGACATGATAGGATCATAGAAATTACAAAACATATTTTCTGGGGTTCCATATGAGTTTATGGAATGTCAATTTTTGGTTAGGAAGTCATGATAAAGTCGATTCTGTTTTGCTTGTCAAACCCTCTCAACAAAGAAAAGGTAAGAAATTTTTGATCCTCTTCCACCTTCTTCTATTCCTCCTTTCTAGTTATGTCTCTAAACAATTGATATTTTTCCGCTCCAGGTCCTTCATAAACTACTTCAATAGCCAAAATGCATTTACTGCATCTTATTTCCAGGCTAATATCAATTTGACACACTGCAAAAACTTGCAAACATATCAACCCACTCTCACTTTCATGCTCTTCATCATCCAATCTAATCAGACACATAAACAATATTTTGAAATTGAAGCATTCTCTCCGTCGCAGTTATATGACGTCCTTTAACATTTTAGGATATCTTAAAATTCTTGAACCATTCTATTTCTATATCACTTCTAATTCATTAAACTATTCAAATTTAAACTTTTACTATGAATCAGATCTGATATTCTAGACTCGGATTTCTGCGAAATAACATCATATAATATAGGGTCAAAAGGATTCATTGGTGGAACCAAAAAGATCAAGTGAGAACATAATACTATTACAAAATTCAATTGTAGCTTTGCAATCATTAAAGGAAAAAAGAGAACACGGAAAGAGAACAATGCAATGTTATTTCAAATTTTGATTGTAAATTTGCAATATTCAAAATAGCAATCCCCTAACAACATGTTGTATCGAACACAAACAATACTTTCTTTATAACAGCAGTGCCCAAGGCTAGCTTTGCATGCACCTCAACTCTATAAAGTAGCTATTATCTTCCACCAATATAAGCACTGAGTAACTTTGCCCACCAAGACTTAAGCAAATGGGACAATAACACTTAACCTTTTTGCCTCTACTGAAATTTGAAACATGGTGTGTCCCATGGTTTTTATCACCAACTCTTGGATGCCACAAATAACATATTTTAGATCCTCTCAAGAAAGAAGGTAACATATTTTGATGGAATGTCAAATTCTGGATATAAATTCAACTATATAAAGTCCATTCAATTTTTCTATTCAAATCCTCTCAAGAAAGAAAAGGTAACAAATTTTCTAATTCTCTTCCATCCACTTCTTTTCCTACTTTCTGGGTTTGTCTGTACAAACCATTATTTTCCCCTATTTACAGCATCTCATTTTCAGTTTAATTTTCACTTTGATACACTGCAAGAACTTGCAATAAATTCCAATATAATCACACACTAAATTATTAAGTACTGGCTCCATCCTAGTTTATATGACACCCTTTGCCATTTTAGGGTGTTCCAAAATTCTTGACACTATTCTACTTCTTCATCACTCCTAATTCATTAAATTATTCAACTTCAAACTTTAATAACAAGTGAAATCTAATATTCTAAAACTCCATATCCAGTCAAATAACACCATAGTTAGCCTCAAGAAAGATTAATCACAAAAAAAAAAGAGAAATAAAATACCTTAGATGGTGGTAGAAAAAGTGAAGAGAAAATTCCGGTGGAATTGGATGGCTGAGTAGATTCTTTGGTGGAATCAAAAATATCAACAGAAAATGATGAACCCACTTGCTTCTTACTACTTTCCATTGGCACACAAGAAAAGCAGAGAAGAGAAAGGTAAAGTACGAAACCAGGATTTTCTCTCTGAGAAAGGAAATAATTGTGTCAGAAGAATTAACAATATGTAATTAGATAGAACAGGCCACGTGAAGATCGCAGTCAGAGAAGTGGGACTAGATAACTACTGACTTTTGAAGTCACTATACACAAATCTCTCGCCCTACATTTCTTCACATGTTTGGGCCGCCCGTGTTTTGGCGCTCCGAGGCCATCTCCAACCTTGCCCCCATTCTCGTAATGGGAGTAATTTTTGGGATAATTTAACTTCAATCCTCCTTCATTTTTGTTCCCAAATATAGGATACACTATTCATCTCCCCCATTATTATTCATCACTTTTTTATTATTATTTTATTATTTAATCTTTTAATTTATCTCTTTATATATACTTAATTATATTTATGTAATGTTTTTATAATATTAATATTATATCTTAACTTTGGTGTATCATTTTGATAAATTAATTTTCGTGCATTTATTATTTTTATGTAAAATTATAAGTTAATTTTATTATAAGTTATAATTGTACAAAAAATATACAATTATCTCAAAAAATGAATGATTGCAAATATAAAATATTAGATGTTTCTAAAATTGAAAAGTGAAGATTGAAAATACATTATGGAAATTAATCTTATATCGCAATGATTTCACTTTTATTTGAATTATTAGTTAATCTATAATAATTGCTTACAAATTATATTATTTAAAATTTTATGAAATTGTTTTAATTATGAAAATTACAAATTAATAAAAATAAAAGATGGAATTTGTTTAATTGAAATTAAAAAATAAAATTGAAATGAAAGATAATAATATAATATAGAAGAGAGAGAAGAATATAAAAAAGTTTGGGGGAAAAAATGGGGGAATGGTTGGAGTAAATTGTCCCCAAAATGGGGAAATCTCCATTTTGGGGACCAAAAAGGGTAAAGGTTGGAGATGCCCTTATACAAGGTGAATTTAATATCACTTTGTGAAGCATAATACCAATTTCATGGAGTGAGGTGCTCCGCTTGCGTATGTCATGTCAGCGTCAGGTCAACGCCATGCCAAAAATGCAATAAACTAACTTTTCACTACTCTTTTTACATTTTTCTTTTTCATTCACATGTTTTTTTTAATTCCATACCAACCACTAAAACCTCCATTATCAACGGGTTTATAGGCTTTAATTTCATCTTGAATGAATTAATATGTTGAGTCCAAAAATGCCATAGGGTGGTGATAAGGGGGTTGAGATCTAGTTGGGTTTTGTTTGTTGAAGGTCACCGAAAAATATGAAAGTTTGCCGGATAAATCTTTCCGGCCCATAGTTGTTCACACACTAACAAATTTTGGGTCATTTCTTGTTATTACACTGTTAAATTGAATCTGAAAGGTCAAAATTTATTTTAATTAATAAACTAAAGAGAAAATCTCACTTTATACCCATTAAATCCAAATTATTTACTCTTTAATGCACATGTCCAAACTCTTTACTATTCCTACCCAAGGGGCCCAAATTAATTACCCGCTAATTTTCCAGCCGCAACCTGCAAACAAAAGCTGAGCTAGAAAATTATCAAACTTTTCTTTGGATTTTCTTCTTTTCTTTATTATCTTGTCCAACAACCTCATAATTTTTTTCTGGCATGCAATTAAATATTTAAGGGCTTTAGTTGTTGAGTACGAACTTTAATGAAATAGTTCCCGCAAACAAGAAATCTTGAAAGAGACCCTCAAGTGGTGAAATAGAGATTCAAACTCTAAAAGAATATCCTTAGTTTTGTGTGGCAATAATAATATTTGTGGGTATGGCATTTACAGAAGTCTCTGGTCATTTACGTCTCTGGTCCCATGCTAATATCATCCTTTGAGAATCTTTCCATTATCCACCATTGTTGGGCTTGAAGCTCAATTTTATTTTTGAAGATTTCTTGTTTGATTCAAAGTGGGTGCTGTTAAATATTGCTTATAGTACCTTCTGGAAGTTCATACTGAAATTTGATAGCATTTGGAGCTGATTTGAGGTGATTGAGATCGAAATTTTCACTTGAAAATCGAAGAATAACACAGCTACAGTATACCGCTACGGTATACAATATGTTGTAGGAGTATATAGCTATACTGCAACAGTACATTATTATAGTTTACAAAACAGTATACCGCTACAGTATACTAATATACTATAGGAGTATATAGTTATACTGCAACAATATACTATTATAGTATACAATATATTGTTATGGTATACTATAATAATATGCAAGATACTGTAACAATATGTTGTAATAGTATACAATATACTATAATAGTATACTTATTACCCATAAATTCACTTGCCTTTTCCCTTTTAATTTGTTTTAAGCTTTTACCAAGCGTGAGGGGCAAATTGAAAATGCAAAAAAAAAAAAATTATAGTATGCTATATAATGTAACGGTATACTCTTACAATTAGATCCTTTTAGAAATTTTTAAATTTTTTATTGATAACTGATATTATTTTAGTTTAATAATTGAATTAAATTTTTTTTAACTCTTTGCGTACAATTGTATACCCTGTTGGTATAGTTATATACTATACTGGTATCATATGTTAGTTAATATTTATTTGGTTGTATTAGCTACATTTAATTGGTACACAATTTAATTTTTATTTAGTAATAATATAAAAAAAAGAATAATAAAAAATAGTAAAAACAGTAAATGAAATTAGATTATGAAGAGAAAAAGAATATAAAAAAANTCTTGTTCGACCTTAAGTTTTTTTATACTAAATGTCTTCTTTTTTTTTTTTTGCCAAAAGTACTTTTGGTTAAAATTTGAGATGTTTGGCCAAGCTTTTAGATGGGAAAAAAGTACTTTTGAAGAGAAGCAGAAGCAGTTTTTGAGAAGCAGAAAAAAGTAGCTTTCTTTCCAAAAACACTTTCTGAGAAGCACTTTTGAGAAAAATACACCTAGAAGCAGTTTTCAAAAGTTTGGCCAAACACTAATTACTCCTCAAAAGTGTTTTTCAAATCAATTAGTCAAACACAAACTGCTTCTCACCAAAAGTACTTTTTTGAAAAATACTTTTGAAAAAAGTACTTCTCAAAATAAGCTAATTTTAGAAGCTTGACCAAACAGGCTATAATTCCTTTATTTTAGACAACAAGATAAAAAGATAAGATTGATTAATGGCTGATGTGATGCTTGTTTTCTCCACTAGAAAACTCGTTGATTGGATATGCTCTGCTCCTATATCTTTTCTCTTTCTCCTTATTTCTTCTTTTTCAAATAACACAATAGCATACAACTACTGTTAATGATTACTTATTATCTTTCACTACTACAAGATAAATTAATTATGTTCTTCAAAATTTACACAATTAAAAAAATTTGTCTCCAATAAAATCTGAACTATGATCTCTCATAGTTTTCACACGTCTCATTAAATCAGAACTAGGTCACATTCTCTATCTTGAAATATCATTTTTCAAGTTGGGTCAGAATTTTCTATCAAAATGTATGGGACCGTCAATCATTGAATCAACACAACTTAACAAAAAGACCTTCTCCTCGACCCCATCCGCACCTTCAAAGAAATCTCGAAAAACTTATCCAAACAATTGCTATATCTACTTTTTATAAATCATGTGGAAGATAAACTAACAAACAAAACAAGCCAAGTCTCAAATCCAAACAAGTTGAGATCGGTAGTCTAAATAAGTTGTGATCAGCTATCTGAATTCTTATTGACCATAATTCTCAAGTTATATAAAATTGAAAACTGATTTTATATTTTTTTAACATTTAATACTATAATGTCATTAATTGGGCATGAAATTATATTCGCTTCAATCGTCTTTTTTCTTTCTATGGTGAGAAATAATATTGTATAGGTCCGAATTTGGCGACCACGGTAACGGATGAGCAAGGCACAGGACGGGGTCGAGCACGATAAGACGACCGAAGGTCGTTTTCGTAAAGGCTGATGCCAGAAGCGGGCAGCTGAGATAAGAAAGTAACGAAATTATAGGTTCAGAAGTGGACATAAAGAATATTCCTTTTGATATTCTTTAGGTTATACCTTTTAGAGTTTTTGAGGAATATCCCTTATAAACAGGAAGAGATGAAACAAAAGGGGGATCTGCCTTTTTGGGATTAGAACATATTGTAAAGATTGAGAGAAGAATATATAAAAGTTGTCTTATTCACTGATCTATTCAAACACATGTGGTTCAACCTTTATCCATAAATCTCAAGATTCCATATTCACCTTGATTTCTAACTTTTCTACGCTGCCATCAGAGAAAAGGAACATCTCAATCATATAATAATTGGGTGGTAGATCCTTTTTCATTACATTTCTTGTCATTATCTGTCGTTATTTCACGTATATGCTATCATATTTATTGTTAATCATAGCATATTAAATTCGCTATTTAATGTTCTTGTACTCTACCCGTTACATAAGTATAAAATTCTATTTGATCTGGAATTTATTAAGTTCAACTGAGATTCACCCTTTAACTCATCATTAATTGGTTTAGCATGTATTTGCTCAAACAATTTGGTGCCGACTGTGGGGAGATTTTAGTTGAAATTATAGTTCCTTCTAGATCATAAAAAAGACAGCCATCTTTTCTTCGTTTGCACAAACTAACGATGGCAGGAAAAACTAACCAAATCCTCAAGGAGGAGGAGGATCAGGAGAAAATTACTTTCATCACCCATCAGGGAACGTACTGTTACAGAGTCATGCCATTCGGGTTAAAGAATGTAGGAGCAACATACCAAAGGTTGGTCACCAAGATGTTCAAAGACCAACTCGGCAAGACAATGGAAGTCTACATCGACGACATGCTGGTCAAGTCAAAAAGGAAAGAAGATCATATCGACCACCTTAAAGAGGCCTTCGGTATATTAAGGCGGTACCACATGAAACTAAACCCCGAACAATGCGCCTTCGGCATAACCTCGGGCAAATTTCTCGGTTTCTTGGTATCACAAAGAGGCATCGAAGTCAATCCAGACCAGATCAAAGCCATTGAAGGGATACCTGAAGTATTGACCAGCAAGAAACAGGTGCAAAAACTGACTGGTCGTATAGCCGCCCTATCAAGATTCATCTCACGGTCATTCGACAAGTGCCATAAATTCTTCAACGTGCTGAAAAAAGACAACGGGCTCCAGTGGAATTCAGAATGCATCGAGGCCTTGAGGGAACTAAAGGCATACTTGTCCTCGACTCCACTGCTCGCCAAAGCAGAACCTGG